AGAGAGGTATAACACGCATCCAATAGATAAATTAGGAAAAAAGATTGTTTGCTTTAGATCAACTTATGGATGAATGGTCTCATCATTCCTGCTATAATAATGAACAACTTAAGAGAAGTAAATGGCGTGTGATCCCGACATATTAGCAACATTTAGCCAGCGTGTCAGTCATGTAATGCCTGATGATGTGGTATTTAATGGTTAAACTGAAATAGCAGAGGAATTGCAGTCTTTCCTAATCAAAATCAAAGACACAATCCTTTTCTGTCCTCTTCCCACGACTCAAAATCTCTTTCCCCGTCCCTCACCGGAGTTATGTAGTTCTCTGGAGCTTCTCTCTGAGCTGTGAGCACCACTGAGAGAGTAAATTAATTTTCCACGTAGACCAGAGGGCTTAATTCAATTACAGTCCCAAGAGCTCATCGCGGGCCGACCTCAGTGAGGGGGCTCGGTGTGTCTCTGGGCTGGGTGAGGGGATCCAGCAGAGCTCTACCCGTTAGGTGAGCCTGACTGTCTTCACTCCCCACCTCCATGCATCAAATATCTATCTGACATCCCCCTACTCCCCTTCCTTATTCTCCCCTCATCTTATGGTCCAGGGAAAAAGCTGCCTCTCTTTTCCTCCCCCTTCCAGCTTCCTTCATCCCCCCACTCATCCTCCGTTCACAGTCAGAAGAAGCTCCCCTCATTCTCCTTTTCGTTATACAAGCCTCAATTATGCATAAACTCGTCAATTTGGCCGTTCAAAGAGGAATGACATGGAATCCAGTGGAGAGGGCTGTCTGAAGACATATCTCATTTGGTGACAACGGGAAGCTTAATGCATGTCTTAGTGACTGTCCTGTCTCTCACACCCACTCCCGTGTGACCCATCCCTGCAATCATATTGTTAAACATGTTTGATAGAACTTAAACCCAGCCAGCAAGTGAAATGCCACAATACACCCCCGTGATATATTTTTACATCTGCCAACGCTGCTGCCGCTGCTGGGCTCCATCGTTAGTCGGGCTTGCATGAAGCTGCCTGCAGGACTTTTCTTGACCTCAGATTTCCACCAGCCTGTTGAAAACCACATTATCTAAAGCAGTGGTGAACCCCTTGTTGATCAAAGCTTTGTTGTTATTTCATTATTGCGGTAAAACATATTTCAATCAATATGTTTGGCTCCAAGCTTTTATCACATTTACATCTTTCCCTCTCCAAGTCTTGCATGTCTAAATGAGATTGTGAGAAAGAGACCACCCCGGCCTCTGCTGTCTTGTTCTCTCTATCTTCCCCTCTATGTTTTTCCTTTCATCTGAGTCCAACTGTACCTACTCTGTGAAACGACATGAGTAAATGGTTCTGTCAGGCCTCCTGAGTGGATTAAAGTGGCCTTCAATTACCTTCATCATTGACCTTATGAAGCTGGTTAACTGCAAAATCCTTAACCCCAAACTCAGTCATTGTACACTCTAATTCCCGCTTACACACGCGGGGCGACAAACACACATTTGTGTTCACAACATTATAAAGGGGATGAAATGGGAAGGAAAGATCTTTAGTGAAGAAATAGGTTAGGGCTAAAATAATTCATTCTGGAAGTTTCCCTTTTTTCCGATTTTGGTTGAGATCAAAGCGTGGTTTCAGGTCTAATTAACCAAACGAATGCAGATCCCAGACCTTCTGGCTGTGGGTAAGGCCTTGGAGGGATCCCTAGCTGAAAATCCACATCAGATTTAAATAATTAATATGACACCTTGAGCTCTGCAGAGAAAGAGGGGCTCCATGTTGGAGTTTAGAACAATGTCACTGCCAAGTGTAATGCTGTTTGTCTCCATGAAAATGAGCAGGGGCGAAAGCAGCCACTCCATTGTACTGCCTCCTTGGCAAATCAGGGGACTGCTCTCTCCTTTGTCATGCTAACGGGGAGCTTTAAGGGGCCGTTGGTAAAGAAGGCCTGCGGCCTGCGCTCCATTGCTGGCTTGGCCAGGCTGAAGCAAGCTGGGCCTGGCTCTTGGGACTTGGAGCTAGGGTCATTTTATGGTTTTTAATCCTCTTAATCCCCGTTAGAAGGGGCTTGGTGGAGACAAATCCGCTCCCAGAGGTCCTTAGGATTCAAACGCTGCGCTTGAGCAACTGTATCATTTGATAACAACAATGGTGGAGGATAGAGTGAGAAAGGGAAAGGGACAGACGGGGAGAGAAATAGGGAGAAAGATAGAAATCTACACATTGTGATTGAGAGATATAGATTTTGTATCTTTGCCCCCTGGTTATTAGCTCTCTTACTTATTGGTCACCACTTCTGTCTGTCGAAGTTTGTGTCAAGGTGGATAAACCTGTGACGGATCCATGACACATACGCACATTAACACTTGGTCTGAGTCTCATGCTAATGACCCTTATGTTGCCCTGTAGTCCATGAAGAAAGGCAGTGCGTTCCCGGTGCGGACAGCACAGCGGCCCGTTTTCAGAGCTCATAGAGGCAGGGGAGCCAGAGATAATCCAGAGGGTCCTATTCAAATTAATACACTCCTGTTAACCTCATCTCAGACATGCTCTCTTCATTATCACTCAATTAAAACTGCATATTTGAACAGGCCTGGGCTGGAGAGGCCTCAGACTGTCGGAGCTTAGTGACCGAACAGTGAAGCCAGAAAGGAGGGATGCCACAGTAGGACATTAAAACACTACTGATCAGGACAAACCGGGTTATAGTAAACTTACTAATCAGAAAGGTGTGTGATTGTTACAAGGAGAGACATACTATACAAGCTGGAGTTCTGATAAATGATTACGAGAATTGATAAAGACATAAAGGGATACTTTGCTCTTAAGAAAAGTAAAGTTATCCTTTTTGTGATCATGCTTTGATTAAAAAAATTCCCCTTTGAACGGGTTGAAGGGCATTTGCTTATTATGCCATGTTTAGGACTGTATTGCGGGCCACTACTGAAAAATACTTCTGCCTATGTCGTTTCTAATTGGAGGAATATGAGAGAGGATGGTTGGCTGCAGTCACAATTGCGCGCGCCTCACCAAGAAACCCAAACATACTCTAGATTGTTCCTTTTGTGTAAAATGACATTGTGAGTTTGTGGTCAGCAGAAACCAAAGCATGGAATGAAGCAGAGGAAAAGCCAAATGCAGAGAAAGAAAGAGAGAACTTCTTGGATGAGCCTGACACTGTTAAGCTAACAGATTCCTTTTGTATTCAACTGCTTTCATATTGTTGTGTTATCTTTCTATACTTCTTTGTCGTCTTCCTAAACTCCTCCTTTTTGCTTTCTCCTCCTCACATTGCCCAGCAGCTCGTTCCTGCTTATGAACCCGGAGTGGAGTGTGGGGTTGAGCACATTCAGCGTTGAGCCCTGGTGTGGGAACAGGCTAGCTGTCTGTGTTCTGCATATAGCCTGCAGCCAAAGACTGAGGAGGAGCGAGCAAAACAACAACCACAAGTCTGGCCTGTCTGCAGAATGCCAGGACTGCTTAGTGGTTGGCAGCCTCCAACACACCAGGGGTACACTGCTGTCATTCGCTGGGAAGATATGCTTGAGATCCCAAATTCCACAGACAGGGTACATGTTACTTGGAATGAAGAGGGCGAATCTCGTTTCCATTTTGCATACGTAATGTTTGGCTCGGATGATGATAGTTTGCAGGTACTTGCTTCATGGCTGAAATCCGGAATGAATTTATAAACCCTGGAGTTGACTCGGGTGAACTAGCTGAGAGCGACTGGAAGCAGTGGCGGACTCAGGCTGTCTGAGGGGCGGGGGCAGCAAAAATAAGAAAAGGCACCATGTATGGAAGCACTGCGTCACGTATTTTAAAATGTAAGGCCACTCTTGAGGGCACTTCATTGCACTTTCTTCAATGGAACAGCACCCTTGACGGCACTTTATTGTGTTTTTTCCAATAAAAGGGCTCCATAGAGGGGACTTTGCAGTATTTATTTGGAACAGGGGGGCACCACAGGGGGTGGTCTTATATCAAGTTCTGCCAAGGAAGTTCAGGTGTTCGCATAGCTGTCAATATAGGATTACAGTGTGAAGGAATCTTTTGTTATTTTACAACTGAATATGTCAGAGAAATGTATACAACACCATCCATCTCTCTCAAGGTTTGACACATTTTAAATGGGAAATCAAATGATTGCCTTGCCCAATAAGTTACTGATATTATTAGCTCAAGCGTTCAGTAGTTCAGAAAGTCCACTGATGAAATGAATTCTCAGTTTCTACACAATTCACAGTGTGAGTTTGACCTTGTTGTCCTCTCCACCGTAGCGGCTAAAAGTAAAAAGGCGATTCGGAGCAGCAGATTGCCGTTTCCATCTGGTGCATTTGCCGTGCGACACGGGAAGACGAGTTCACATCTTTTCGTACTGTAATTGTGGTTTCATCAAGCGAATGGCGGTGTCATTTGCTGCGTTGCTTTCGCTGCACACACATTGTTTCACACTGTGGGTTGTTTCCCTTTCTCAGGTCCTAAATCCTAACTCTATATTATTTGATCAGGGCTGCGTTCACCACCCTCTTGTTTCTATAGCCTTTGAGAAAGACAAACACAGGCAAGAAACCTGTGTAATGAGCATAGTGTGCGTGCCTGTGTCTACGTGCGCCTTATGAATCCGAGTTCATTTCAAACACTTGGTTCTTACTGGGAATGCAGCTGAGAGCGAAAGCGGCTTGTTGGTGTGTGTGTGTGTGTGTGTGTGTGTGTGTGTGTGTGTGTGTGTGTGTGTGTGTGTGTATATGTATGTATTGATGTGTATTTCCATGTGCGTTGACAGCCTTTGAGCCAGTTCTCGCCTTCACTAAAAACGCTTAGGGCACAAAGCAGCCTTCCCCCCTCTGCTCCTGAGCACAGGCCCTGCTCTCTCTCACTGACAGGAGCTGAAGGTAAGCACCAAAGACATCCTGACACACACGCCTAAAAGCACTTTTGATGCGGGGAAAATGGACCGCTTTGCAGTGTACAAATAACAGCAAAATGTCAACAGAGCGAGGCGAGTCCGACGGGAGGCAACAACACGAACCAGGTTCAGATGATATTACAGCGTACAAAACGTGAGTGTCAACCACCAAAGGCCCTTTGCTCGTCTTCCTCGATGTTCACATTGTTTTGACTTTGTCTGTTTATCAAACAATCAACAATGTGATTTCTTACGGAAACACTTCACAGGAAACACACATGGGGGTGAAAGAATGAAAGGCAAACTTTGTATACAACACAACAATAGTAAATGTTCAATCATCCTTAAAACAAATCTATTTATTTGGTTTTTTTTGTGGGATTTCTTAAAAAGAATTCACCCCAGATTCAAGTTCCCCATGCTGCAGTTCTTGTCATGCAAAGTCAACTTAGGCTATTTGATATTGTGTCATGTGCGCATTTATTTCATTAACAGCAAGAAGATTTGATTTAATTTGTTTCATTGTTTCCATCATGATAGGAACTTTCAGAGAGATCTGCTTGGGTAGTAACGGATTGGAGGTACAGGATCAGGATACAAAAAAGGTAACTGTCTTTTTGGTTTTCATTCAGCCTACTTCGAATCTTCTTTATTTTAAATATATATATATGTTTTAAGTGCAGTAAGTGGACAACTGATTTATTAAACAAAAATACGGTGTTTGCTTTTAATGAATGTATTAAGACGTAATTTGTAAACTATACTGTTCTGTAGGCCTATACTTTAATTCAACATGACACATTTTTAATACAAAATATATTTTAAAATGTTTTATTCTTTTCCTTGTAATTATTTGCATTGCATTTGATATTGAGGTAATATTTTGGTTACTGATTACATGTTTTTTTATATGCAACTAGTAATTATAGTGGAATACAATTTTAAATCTGGACAAAAATCCATTTTTTAACCATTATTTTAAATTGACAGCTGCAGTCTATAAATGGATTATCAACATTGATGATATATGATACTATAACAATGCAACTCAACAATTGCATTGTTAAAGTATCATATCAAATCTCTATTCTAACTATTCATATTTAATAATCAATACATTTAACCTCAAAACTCTCGTCGCATCAGGATGACTCTGCCGTATTTATCTGCCTGCTTTCATGACACATCTATATTTACCTGTCAATCTTTAACACACATTCCCTATATAACCCATTACCCTGCAACACTTCATCCCCAACCCCAACACTTCCCCCCTCTGTCAGTCTGTGCTGTGTTTCCTGTGAGGTGTGTGTGGCGGGGGCCGGGGGTCAGGGCCCAGCGATTCTCTGGGAGACAAGTGTCTGCTCTAACCCAAGGCTACACCTGTAGGTCACTGCAGGGGGATGCTAATCCCTCAGCCGCCCACTAATACTGATGATCTGCATCTGAGACCCTCTCCCCTGGGAGAGAGAGAGTGTGTGTGTGTGTGTGTGTGTGTGTGTGTGTGTGTGTGTGTGTGTGTGTGTGTGTGTGTGTGTGTGTGTGTGTGTGGTGTGTGTGTGTGTGTGTGTGTGTGTGTGTGTGTGTGTGGTGTGTGTGTGTGTGTGTGTGTGTGTGTGTGTGTGTGTGTGTGTGTGTGTGTGTGTGTGTGTGTGTGTGTGTGTGTGTGTGTGCCTGTGTGTGTGCCTGTGTGTGTGCCTGTGTGTGTTTGGGTGTGGGGGCTGACAGATGAGGCAACAGGGGGCCCAGCAACCCGTGTCTGTCTGTCCCTGTGTGTGTGTGTTTGTGTGTGTGCATTATGGGGGATGGGAGAAAATACGGTATTGTCTGTGTGTGTGTTAATGTGCGTATATGCGAGTGCAAGTGAGGGTGGAGCTATCTTTAAGGGATGCTGGGAGGGTAACTGGTCCGTTTTCCTTGGCCTCCACCTTCAGAAGCGGCTCTGATGCTCAGATCCTAGACTGAATAATTTGTCACCTATTTACATCGAGCCAAGAACTGGAGAAATGGCACGAGCAGGTGGTGGTATCTCTCCTTCTCGCTCTCTGTGCCATAGACAGATGTGTCTGGCTGCAAACATCCCCCCATCCTCTTGCTTTCCCTGGGGCTCTCTTTCAATGCTTTGCACTTTTGTTGACTGAAATAACACTGCAAATAATCACTGCCCAGAATGTATCTTGCAACCATTAGGAATAAGCTTAAAATGGCATAACGTAAGCTTTTTGCTTTATAGCTTATTAACAAATTATGTTAGTCAATATCTTTACGAGTGAGCTAGTCCTGGAGATTTCTTTGGACAAAATAGAACAGGCTTTAATGATCATTTTATTATTAAGGTCTCAGGTCCTAAATTCATTCAACCATATCTTAAGTATCACACTGCAGCAGGTATACACTGGTGTAAGTTTTACCCATCACCCTTATATTAAAATAAAAGTTGTCTTGTCACAACATGCAGACAGTGAGGATTAGTCTAGTGTACGTTTTTTCCAAAAAAATACAGTTTAACATGCTTTCAATAACATAAAGACCTGTACAACCTGGTAATAGTGATTACTTTGCATGGCTCTGATGGTACATTATATACATTTCTATTCAGAAACAGTAAGTTGCTAGCAAACCCCACAACAATTGAATACAGATGAGGATCATGCTAACAATGATCGAACAAAATAGTTTAATAATCACATCACAAGTTGTTTGATGGAACACACTGGCTTACTTACAAAGGTTAACTTGTTTCAACATATTAGTCCTTACAGACAAGCAGAGAGAGCCGTGACAGGCCCACTAATATTAGTCCTTAGGTTGCACCGTTAGCGATGCACTCAGAAATAAAGAGTTTCCAATCGCTTGGTTAGCTTGTTTTTAGAAAACATCTACGGCTCCATTGCACCCTGCCATCGTTGTCTTGGTTGCTCCCCTATAAGAAAACCTAAAGTTAACGACAGATTGCCACCAATATTTGCGAATCTAAAATGGCAGAATAAAACAATTTAACACAGAAAGTGAAGCAAATCATTTCTAACAATTTCCAATCTTGTCCCCATCCACTTCCGGTGCAAAATCCCAAAACAGATATTTTTGTGTCAAACGCATACAGATTAGCTTTTTGCTGCGCCAATATATTGTAGCAACTCGCAGCAAGAAGATGATTAGACATTACAGAGACATCTCCATTAATTTATTACAGAAAGTGGACAAAATGTAGGCCAACTCCAACACAAAGAAAAATAACAGAGACATTATCCTTGAGCTTTATTCTTCCTCAGACTTTTGCATACAGAATAATTGCAGCTGCTTCTACACAGGGCCGGTAATTAAATGCATGACCACAAATGTTAAACTGATCAAACACATCACAGTAACAGGTAGCTAAAAATGATTGACAGCCTTAACAAGCTATTAGACTTTACAACATGTTTGGAAATGGCACTGATCGTGATGTAACAACCATTTATCTCTAACTAAGCTCTTGATCTGAACTAACTTAACTGAACATTATTAATAATCATAACAGCCACTCCTCACATGCCCGTTACAATATATTAGAGTCAAATGTTTACAGTGGTAGCTGAATGCGATGGAGAGAAGGAAAGTTATAATAAGGTGGGGAGAAGTTCAAGTGGTAACATTACTTGATTAGGTGCGCAGTTTGAAAAAAGGTGATTGGGTCTGTCCTCAGGCTACTTCACACACACACGCACGCACATGCTGTTATTGCATGCTAATCATATTTCACCCCAATCACTAAACACACATTCATATTTGAAGGTTTATCCCAGGCGGCCATTTCAAATGATTATGTATGTGATTCCAACCACACAGCGCAGAGAAAGTGTTTACTCTCTTCATTGAGGCGCTGGATAAGTTGAGAGCAGAAGCTAAGTGTACTACAGTCTATGGCAGAAGAATAAACATTTTCCTTTATAGCCTGAGGACCCACTTTTCATCTGTCAAGCATGTTTTAATAATTAATCTGTTTAATACACACACAGCATCTGCTGGGTACAACTCCCATCCTCCCATTCAAACTGACTAGCACAGCTGCCACTGTTTGGGTGTACTGTACAGGCCTGGAATATGATAAGATGTTTTTTTTCTCCTTTGCAATACACAGACAGAATACTGCCGTGCAATCTCACAGTATATAGACACACATGCACAAACTTGTAGATGTGCACACTCCTGCAAAATAGTTTATGCTGAAGGGGGGAGGCTCTGACTATGGGCCTACTTTCCCTATGTATTTCTCCTTGGTGAGCAGGCCAAATGGGGATTGTGTAAATTAAATACATTTCTTTTTCCGGCAGCAGAGAGAAATGATGCCAGATTAAGCCCATGAATATATACATGGGCCAGGGCTGACCTGTCTCCAGACGCCTGATTTCCCTGGAGGGGTGCTGACATGGTGAGGGGCTCCAGGGGTGTGTAGGTGTGTGTATGCATGTGCGTGCCTGCATGCTTGGTAGTGCGTGTGTGTGTGTGTGTGTGTTGCTCAGTGCACCTCAGACAGAGGTGAGGAGATCTCTTGAACAGGTCCAAATTGAGCTTAATCTCATTCCTCATTGTGCTGGAACAGGAATGAAATTGCACAATTGCACTTTAATCGACGATCGAACACCCTTTCTCCCCCCTCCTCCCCCACCTCCTCTCCTCCTTTTCATTTCTCTTGCCCTCTCTGTCTCTTTGTGTCCTTGGCCTTAAATTCCTAACATGGGCCGCTGGGCATGATTGCCGCTTAGCCTCTATTTTCTTCTCGTTTCTTTTTGTTCCAATGGAAGCATCTCATCATGTCTTTTAAAGCAATCAGGAGGTTAATGTGGTTAGGATAAGGGCAATCATAAACCAATAAAGGAAATCCGGATGCCCCGTTCCTCTTTCATTCAGCGTCTAATCCTGGGAGATTGTGATTTCGGGAATCCTGTGCCGCATCCGTTGCACTGAAGCGTGTCTCCATCATGGGCAGGAAGGATTCAGTTAGTCCCCTGGGGTTGATTACATACATACACACACACACACACACACACACACACATCCTTACAGTCATTTGCGCCACACAGGTGCTTCTGATTATCTAAGGTAGGAAACTTTTGGTCAACTGAATATTACCCATATAAAGCGCATTTGCCCGTACAAGAGTATAGAGAGCAAAGCCATTACTATTTTTTTTTCTTCTCAAACACACTCAGCCACTGTTTCCCAGTCCTCACATAGCGATCATATTCAGCAGTTTGCCTTTTTGGTCCTCTCCCTGAGACATTGTTCGCAAATTCAAACAAACCACCGTCTCCAGGAGGATCTATTTTTATTATGAATGAAACATCTGACTTTAGTAAACTAACAACAACTGTGTAAGGATTACAGAGACCGTGTCAGAAACCACAGAGAAACACAGTTGAATGCAGCTCAAACCTTAAGTCAACATTCTTGTATGTACTCGAGGATGTTAGAGAAAGAAAACCTGCGGCAGCAACAACAATGCACTGATGCCATTGTAAAATAGCACCAAACTGGCTCACTAAATTGAATTCTTCTGACGTTACAGATTGTTATTTGGTTCGTTGTACAATTAAAATCATGTATCTTTCAGCCGGCTGGAACC